ACACACACACACACACACACACACACACACACACACACACACACACACACACACACACAGGGGTTTGTCAGGAGAAATTGCTCTTTCCTGCTCTCATCTATCATTCCCCCTCTGAGTGGATCGCTGTCTGTCATCTTGAAATAAAGCACTTAGATTGGCCACTAGAAAGACTGTGTGTGTGTGTGTGTGTGTGTGTGTGTGTGTGTGTGTGTGTGTGTGTGTGTGTGTGTGTGTGTGCCCGCGCGTGCGTGTATGTGTGTGTGCGTGTGAATGCGTGTGTGTGAGCGCGCTCAATTCGAAGCCTCCTTTAATCTCCCTCTCTGTGTCTCAGAGGGAGCTCGGGTTTTTTCCAGTGTTGGTTAAAGTCTCTGCTGGAGGCTCAGAGGGGGGAGGGGGGGGGGGCCTCTGTGTGGCTCTGAGGAGCCCAGACTGGACGGGCTGTAATGGTTCCCAGATGGTTCCATCTGTGTTCATGCTGTGTGTTAATAAAGTTTGAGTTGAAGTCTGTTTCCGTCCTCAGTGAAGCGTCAGGGTGGAGTCTGCAGTGCTGGATACCCATTGGTCCACTCCTCAGGCTTCTATCCAGCTGGATGTTGGTGATGCTGCAAGGTTCGGGTTTAGTTAACAGCCACTGGTTTTATATGTTTCTGCCTGTTTGGAGACACACATGATAAACAGGAAACATGCAGGGTGACTGGGAAACACAATCCCTGCTAATCATCTGTTTCTTTTTCCATGTTTGTGTGGAGTGCTGAATTATCAGCTGATCATCATATTGTAGAGGAGCATCACACAGGCACAGATACCTGCTGATAAAATCCCAGAATTTCACTCATTAACGGGGAAATGAAACTCTTTACACATAAAGGCTAATATACTTCACTGAGCCTGGACCTAAGTCTGTCTGTGATGTCGGGTCGTGTTCAGCGCCATCTTCTGTCAGTATGGGATGTGACGTCATGTGATTGGTTGGTTGGTGCTAACAGACTCGCATTACTTTATGTTAGCTAACTACTGACAGGATGGATACCTCAGAGGAAATTAAGGGCACTTAAACTAAACGTGAGTGTGAGGGGATCACTTTAGTGCTGCAGCAGTGAGTTCATGTTGAACCAGGACAGACTGTCCACTTTACTGTCTATGTCTGTGGCAGGAAGTGGCTGTTCACTGTTTGGCTAGCTGCACTGAAACGGTAAAATCCAGCTGTTAGCTGTGATGTTGATGTTTGTAAAGCACATTATAAACGAGGACTGTGGAGGAGGAGAGCTGGTTTGAGTCACCAGACCGACCGGCTGGATTTTTCCTCGTCTGGTCGAATGTGCTGAGCGTCAGCTATTTTATGCAGTGTAATCATCTTTCTTTCAACAGCTCGAAATATTCACACCACAAACATAACTGTTTCTTACCGAAGCACAACTGGGAGTCCTAACATCCATCAGCATGTCCGTAAGAAAACAGATGGACGTGTGTGATGGACAACAAAAAGAAACAAACAGAGGTTTGAGGAAGAGATGGCACACCTTATTTTCTTCACATCGTCTCACTGGCTGGATTACTTCATATTAGAAGTGAGGAAAAGCAAAGCCCAGATATAAGTGAAGCAGACTGTAACGAGGTGTTTTTCCTACGGACATGTAGATGCATGTCAGGATTTGCAGTCGTGCTTTGGTAAGAAGCATAGTTATGTTTGTGATTTGGTGTGCATGCAGTGAGCTGTTCTGTTGCATTTGACACATGCTGCTTCAGTCATTAACACCAACAGGAAGGTCAGCCGATGGAGACGAGGCGTGCCGATAAAAATGCTGAGCGATGAAGAAACTCAGATGGAGGTCACCTGGTCAGGTCCTAACAACTCTGATTGGCTGAGCACCGACTGACCCCAGAGCAAGGCGCCGGTTTGGCGACAGTTGGCAGCAGAGCGGAGCTGAGCCCTTCGCCAGCTCTGTTTTCACTTTACACACATAGAGGATTTTAGAGACGTGACAACGTGACGTTCACACTGCTTCCTTCAGTTTAAGCACAAACACCCGAATCCTCCGTCAAAGAAAACATGTTTACATCCATCAGAAGTTAAGAACAGCAGCAACAGGGCAGGAGCTTCAGTTTACTTTCATCATTGTGGAGAGGATAAGAAGGGCTACAGGTGAGCACAGGTGTGTCTCAATTCATTATCCTCATCACGTGTTCCTGTTTGTGTGGTCTCCGTGTTGGTTTCAGATCCGATGAACGGCCCACGGCGTCTTGAAGTCGTTGACATCCAGTCCAAACAGGTGGCGGTTCGCTGGGAACCATTCGGATACAACGTGACACGCTGCTACAGCTACAACCTGACTGTGCAGTACCGCTACAGACCTGCAGGGGCCCTGAGCAGGTACACACAGGAAGCAAGAGGGAGGGGCCAACAGGTGAAGAGAGGGAGGTCCCAATGGTAGAGATAGTAATGAACCAAATGAAGTGAGAGGGAGGGGCCAATGATTGGCAGAAGAGAGTAATCATACAAAAAGAGAAGGAGGGTCCAGCAGAAATTAGAGATAGAGAGTTGGACCACAGCTGGATGGAGGGCGTGGTGAACAGGTGAAGGTAGGAGGGGCTCTGAGGTGCTAGGAAAGAAGGAAACTGTACTTCTTTAAGTTTCATTTCATCCGAGAAGCTTCTTCAGTTCTAAACCAAATGGTGGAGAGTCCCAGGTATTTAAACCCTAGTGGGGGTGTCCCTTATGAGGGTCATTGAACCTGTATTGATCATGTGACTCACCACATGAGCCAAGGTGTGGGTCATTATCAGCTGAGGTGTCAGGTGTTACCAAAGGTCACTCTTTCGAGTATGCCGGTGTCCACATGTTGGACAGACAAGACAGATGGTTTGAGAGACGAGTGAAAGAAGCATCTATGTCCACTGTGAACAGAGGGCGGGGCTTACGACACAACTGTCTGCCATCTACAATCCTTCCCAGATGCCTAAACACCCACTCACATCCTGGGCCGTTGATCTTAATAAGTCACATGATGGAGTGGGGCAAGATCTCACAGTTGGTTCACCTGAAACCTCTGCTGATAATGACCCACGCCTTTTTTCACCCACTGGCTAATGTGATGAGTCACATGATCAGTAGTGGGTCCCTCATAAGGGACAACTTGATAAATAGATGAATACCACTCAACTATTTGGTTTAGAACTGAAGAAGCTTCTCAGATGAAACTTAAAGTCTAGCTGCTTTCTTTCCAAGCACCTGCTGTTTCTCCTGCAGGGAGCCAGCGAAGGAGGAGGTGCGGGAGGAGGAGGTGTATGACACAAGGAGCACCATGCCGACGCACACCGTACGCAACCTTCCACCCTTCACCAACGTCAGCCTGAGACTCATCCTGAGCAACCCCGAAGGACGCAAGGAGAGCGAGGAGCTTCTGGTGCTGACAGACGAGGATGGTAAAACTCTCCCTTGAGTCACAGGGGAATCACAGCAGAGTCACAGTAGAGATATAGTAGAATCAAAGGAGAATCACAGTAGAGTCACAACAGTTTCACAGTAGAAACACAGTAGAGTCTACTGCTTTGTCCTCCGATGGTAACCTATGGTGACATTTTGGTTTCAGTTCCCGGGGCAGTCCCCGTGGACTCGATCCTCGGCAGCAGCTACGAGCAGCAGATCAGCCTGAGCTGGAGGGAACCGCTGCAGACCTACGGCCTGATCCGGCAGTATGAGGTAAATGCATACAATTCCCAGCAGGCTTTGCAGTGTCCCAGTCAGACCCCGTGAGTTATCTGGGTCCCGATGTCTGTCTTCTCCCCAGATATCCTACAAAGCCTTGAGCTCCTTCGACACGGAGTTTGACCTGTCCAATCAGAGCGGCAGGGTGTTGAAACCGGCCAATGAGACAAGCCACATGTTCACCGGCCTCTACCCAGGCTCCACCTACTCCTTCACAATAAGAGCCTCCACTGTTAAAGGCTTTGGGCCCCCTGTTATCACCCAGTTTACCACCAAGATCTCAGGTAGGACTGTCAAACTAAGAGCTCAGATTGTTGTTTTTACTTTAAATGACTGCAATGAAGGAAGACAAGGTGAGCTTATTTTGTGTATCACAGTAGCACAAAGCGTTCACAAGTTTCTGCTGTCTCAACACGGACAGAGAAATATGCGTCACATGACCATAACTCTGGAGTAGAGAGAAAATTCAAATGTTTCCTGAAAGATGTCATTTTACAGCCAAAACTACAAAACAAGTTGGGCTGGGTGAAAAAGGGTTAACTCAATAGTGCTTCTCACTGGCTCTTACTGACATTTTATTTTGAAAAGCCAGTCGTGTGTTTAATCCCACGGAGCTTTCAGTCACAGTGTTCAGGCGGGTGAGAGTAAACAGGCAGACCGGACCTGGGTTTTCCCGACACAAACAGTCGAGCTGGAAGGAATCAGCTGATTCCACTGTGTCCTGTGCGCTCGGGTGTGGTTCTGCTCCTCGCCAGGCCTTTGAGTCATTTCCACTCTTTGCTTCAGTGTGAAGGTAAATCAGGAGGGAATGAGCTGAACATATTGTAACTCCTCCTCCTCTTCAGCTCCTCTGATGCCGGCGTACGATCAGGAGTCTCCTCTGAATCAGACCGACTCCACCGTCACCGTCCTGCTGAAGCCCGCTCAGAGCCGTGGGGCCCCGGTCAGGTAACGTACCTGTTCAAATATTCAGCAGCATCAATCTCCCACTCCATGAACATTTCATGACGTTGCTGTTAAAGATTAAAGCGCCAACGTGTACCGCCCTGAAGCAGGAAGTCAGGCGACAAACTGCTCACATCACTAACAGGAAATTAAGACTTGTCCTGAAATTAAAAAACACTCACTGTCTCACACACTCACTGCTGCCCAGAGGGAGGCGGTATCTGCAGTAACAGTCGTCATGTCAACAGCTGAGTGGGCTCTGTCATCGGGCTTTAGCGAGGGATTTGGTTAATTAACAATCAGCGGGCGGGGCTAATCAAAGCCCACTTCTAACACAGAGGATTACCCAGGGATTATCAGTTAATGTGTCAGTCTCACACACACACTACAAACAGACAGGAAGCAGCGTGTGAGACGGCGTCTCAGACAGGTAGGCTCTGCCGCTGATAATGAACACCTGCTTGTCACATGACTACAGGCCAAGAGCAGTGACCTAAAGGTGGAGACACTAAGGTGAGCTGTAATGGAGAGACTGGCAGGTATATTTGCTTAATCTAATGACACCCGGTTACGCCAATCGGAGGTCACTAAAATCAATATTGAATCGGTGTGCAACTTTGCCAAAACAATGTCGGACTCTGTAGTTTTCTCTGGTCCCCTCCCCAATCAGACCAGGAGTGACATGTTTAGCCGCATGTTCTCCTTAAATTGCTGGCTGTCTGAGTGGTGTCCCAGAAACGATGTGGGCTTCATAGACAATTGGCAAACCTTCTGGAGGAAACCTGGTCTTGTTAGGAGAGACGGCATCCATCCCACTTTGGATGGAGCAGCTCTCATTTCTAGAAATATGGACAAATTTATTAAACCCCCCCAAAATATGACTATCCAGAGTTGGGACCAGGAAGCAGAGCTGCAGTCTTACACGCCTCTCTGCAGCTTCTCTCCTCCTGCTACCCCCCCAAAAACCCATCTCCATAGAGACTGTGCCCATCAATCAGCAGATTTCTGGCTCCCAGGTGTGTTTCATACAGGTAAGGAGCTGACACCGGGAGCCTTCTCAACTCGTTAGCTGTATGAAAGACAGCTGTCCATAGAAGCAATCAGTATGTCCAGATTCAAACTCTGCACCATGACCAAGACCAAACAGCTTTCCAAGGATGTCAGGGATGAGACTGGACCTACACAAGGCTGGAATGGGCTACAGATGACAGGACAAAGATCACAATAGGTGGTGCGATAATTCGCAAATGGAAGAACCATGAAATAACTGCTCATTTCCCTCAGTGTGGAGTTCCACGCGAGATCTCACCTCACGGAGTCTCTATGATAATGAGGACACTGTGTGTTAACAGACCTCTCTGCATTGAATCATATCTGTTATTAACCTCTGTCTCTCTTCCACAGCATGTCTTTATCCTGTCTTCCTTCTCTCACCGCAACCAATCGCAGCAGATGGCCCCGCCCCTCCCTGAGCCTGGTTCTGCCGGAGGTTTCTTCCTGTTAAAAGGGAGTTTTTCCTTCCCACTGTCGCCAAAGTGCTTGCTCATAGGGGGTCATATGATTGTTGGGTTTTTCTCTGTATCTATTATTGTACGATTTACTGTACAATATAAAGCGCCTCGAGGTGACTGCTGTTGTGATTTGGTGCTGTATAAATAATGATTTTTACTCATTTTAATTCTGAATAATTTGCTAAAAAAAAGATGAAAAACACAAAAGTGTCATTGTGAAATAATCACAGTGAGTCTTTCCGTGATACTGCAGCAGCCCCGCGTGCAGAGACACACAAAGTGTTGCATGCTGGGTAGCTGGTGGCCTCGACGCTTGTGCGTATCTACTGATGTACTGCTTGTGTTAACGAGCGTGGAGTAGGCTGTGGCAGTGGGCGTGGCTTTTGGTTCTGCAGTTAGTGTAAGTGCAGCTCGTACGCTCGCTGACTCCACATATCTGAGCCATGAAGCCGAGGATCAGTGTAGGGTCTTCCTTACACTACAAAGCGACTGTTGTTGCGATTTGAAGTCATCCAAACATGAATGTCGGCTTCGAGCTGTGTGTATCCTCTCAGACCTTCTTTGGATGGAGTTTGGTCCATATGACGGCGTTTCTCTCCACCCATCAGGAACCCTCAGCATTAAGTGAGAACAGTTTAACCTCACCCCACCTCTGTAGCTAACCACCAGACAGCAGCCCGACGTCACCAACCCTCCATGTAGGGGCGCGACGGGAGCCTATTCAGCCCCAGGGTAGGACCTGGACAGGCCCCCGTCTGTCGCAGGGCTAGCACATAGAGACAGACAACGACTGGGAGAGAACCCACGCAAACACAGGAGGAACGTGCAAACTCCACACAGAAAGACCTGATGGTGGAATTAAACTGTGAGGCAACCGTGCTGCCACTGCTGTGTGATGACTGGGTGGATGAAACCCAGTGAAGCTGTTGGAGGTGTATGTCAGCTGTTTATTCCTGCCTGCGTTTGCTCAGCAAGAGCAGTTCCAGCTCCACTTCAGCTTTCTTTGGTTTGCTAGATGTCTGAAAAGAATCTCATGGAAGCACCTGCACGTGCTCGTCGCCACTTCAGCGAGTGGCCGTGTTTTCTGTGCAAGCAGCGAGAGAGCGCTGCGAACGCTGCAGATCAGTCACTCGAACGTGACTCTTGTGTTTGAGTGGGGGTGAAGAAAGAGGAAGCTGAAAGGAGGAAAATGGATCTTTTCAGCTGAAGCGAGATCTGTTTTTCCTTTTGTGTTGGGGCGAGGCGTGTGTGTGTGTGATTTGCGCTGTGTTAATCGACATGATGTCTGATGTGAAATCCATCAGATTGAACAGATGCTGCTCCGAGATACGATTTAAGGTCTGCGTGTTTATATTTAACTTTCTCTCTGACACCACAGTGTGTGTTGGCCTTCAGGCACGCACACACAGATTCAAACACACACGTATGTAGGATACGCGCATCACAGGACAAAAGGTGTTGCCGGCGGCGACCTGCAGCTGTAATCAGATTACTGTCTCACACACACACACACACAACAAGTCCTGCGACTCGAGCGTGGTGAAATGTGATTGGAGATGGAACGTCAACGACAGAGAGGAGAAGAAAGGACATAAAGAAAGAGACAGATGTGGGGGGGAGGAGAACTGAAAGAACGAGGCAGAAATGATCCAATTTGTTCTTCTTCTCTTCCTTTCAGAGGCGAATTAAAAACAGTGTGTTTGTGTCTGTGCGCCTTCCTGTCCTCCATTAGTTTCCTGTCCAGCAGGAAATGTGACAACACTGCAGTTTCACCCTCCACACCTTCAGATGTGTGTCAGAAACTGTGTGTGTGTTGATATGTAACTTCTGTCCTGAACTGGACTCCTATGAAAAACACAACTATTGTTTCCAGCGTCCCTAGGAACACACGCCGTCTTAAAAACTAACCGTGCTGCATTCAGGTGCAGCCCAGTGTAAACCACATACAGGCTCTTCTGCTGGAAAAGAAAGTTTACTCTAGAGTCACAATACTTTCACTTCAGTTCAGTTCAATTTTATTCATACAGCAACAAATCACAGCAGTTGTCCCAATGAAAGATCCTGTTATACAGAGAAAACACTAACAATCAGACGTTGACCTTTGAGCAAGCATTTGGTGACAGTAAGGAGGAAAAACTTAACTGGAAGAAACCTCAAAACCGGGCTCAGGGAGGGGCGGGGCCATCTGCTGCGACTGGTTGGGGTGAGGGGAGGCAGACAGGATAAAGACATGTCCCAATTCCTAAGCCGGCCTTCAGAGGACCCGGCCCACATAGGCCGGGTTCTCTGAAGGCCGGTGAAATTGGCTGTGAAATTGGACGGTCGAGCCTTCAGTTTTGCGTCACCGCTGTCTCGGTGGAGTTTAATAAACTCGGCTGTCTGCTCCTTGTTATTTAAAATATAACAGGACACTATAAATATAACAGGAGTAAACTCTCGACCATCTCACACTTCTGTTTAATCAGGTTGATGTTTATTCAACTGTGTGAAAACTAAAACTTTAATCTCAGCCAAACCGATTTACTCAGGAACAAATGAAACATTGAAAAAAGCCAAAAATGTACATTTATAAGTTATCATAGTGACTTATATATCATGTTTAACCTAAGTAGTGAAGACCATGGGGATCTGAAATGATGTGCCGGGAGTCCGCTGCACTCGCCGGCTTCAGTGACCCTCGAGCTCCCGGCTAACTATCGAGCTGGTGGGTAACAGACGTCTCCAAACACATCAGAGCACTTTTACAAATATGTGATGTCTTGATAAACCGAACAGATATACTCCATTGCCGCATTTGAAAAGTATTTTATATTATTATACAAATATTATAAATAATAATTGAATTAATAAAGTATTTCAAAGAGTAATAAGAATAAGTTGCTTCTGCCATATTTGGAAACTGGAATTGGCGGGGCCGCGCTAGGAATTCTGGGATATGGTGGACCACGAACAATACACCCGACCCATCCTTCAAATCTGGGGAAATAAAGGACGCATTTGGAGCACCCTTCATTTCCTGGTTGTGACGTAATCGGCCTTCAAATGCGGCCTCCAAAGGATGCGGCCGAGGAATTGGGACATATCTAAAGACATGCTGTGGAAGAGAGCTGAGGATTAATAAGTGTGAAGAAAGAAGAAACACTCAATGCATCATGGGAATCCTCCAGCAGCTTACACCTATTGCAGCATAACTAAGGGAGGATTCAGGGTCACCTGGTCCAGCCCTAACTATATGCTTTAGCAAAAAGGAAAGTTTGAAGCCTAATCTTGAAAGTAGAGATAGTGTCTGTCTCCTGAATCCAAACTGGAAGCTGGTTCCACAGAAGAGGGGCCTGAAAACCGAAGGTTCTCCCTCCCATTCTACTTTTAAATACTCTAGGAACAACAAGTAGGCCTGCAGAGCGAGAGCGAAGTGCTCTAATAGGGTGATATGGTACTACAAGGTCATTAAGATAAGATGGGGCCTGATTATTTAAGACTTTGTATGTGAGG